GGGCTCCTTCTGGGCTTCCTCTCCTCCGCAGAACAATAGTCAAAACTCGCTCCATTCTTGTCCAAACTCCCCCCACTGTTAGATAACTTTGTTTTCTATTTTTGATTTTCATGACATGATCCAATTATAGGGCATTTGTTGAAATTCTGTTGAAACTTTTTGTAAAATTCAGTCTAATGCAATTGTGAGTCAAAACTAAGCAGACTCATTCATGGCTGGATTAGAAGTCTCAGGCCACACATTTTACGTTTATTTATAAATACTTAAATATTTATTTCAAAGAATCCATTTCTCCTCTTTGAAGAAGACTGTTTAAGAAATAAAAAGAATTAAAGGAGGAAATTGTCTAGTCCCATCTCTACAGAGAGGGCTGTACATACAAGAAATACCCAAAGTCGTGTTTGATTTACTATGTTCATTTTGATAAAGATAAGAAATCTATGGGGATTTAAACACTAATCCAAAGTAAAACCTAAATTTAGAAAATTAAACTGCAAAGGGAAAATATTTGAGAAAGTAATCAGAAAATATCAAAACCAAAATGTGAAACAATAAACTAACCAGAGCCTTGGTCTTGCGGTGGTGAGGCAGGCCCAGCTGGTCTGAGGAGCTGGCTTGTTTGGAGGTCCAGGGTGACTGGGAAGATTCTTTGTGTAGCCGGTGGACAGCGGCGGGAAGAACCGCATTCCAGGGACTTCTGAGGCAAGCGCTGGACCCAATCACCTCTCAAGATGCATCAGTTTCACTGAATAAAGAGGAAGAAACATCTGAACATATTTCACCAAAACAAAGTCAGAGAATAGACTTGCACATTGTATTCTGGCCGCTTCCCCGCTTCCTCCCTTCCTGGAAGCTTTGGGGAAGGAGCATGTTTCTGGATTCTCACTTTAGGACTGTTCACTCACAGGGTCTTACTCAAAATCAAGTTGGGCTCCATCTGGAACCACAGACATAAACGATGGTGCCTTCGGCTGAAAGAGGGAGCGCACTGACCATGCGCTTTGGTCATGCTGGAGGGCCATGCCGTCCTCCATGCTGGGTGGGCGCAGCTGCTGGGCGGGCCACGGGACTCGCACGGCCAGTCTGCGTGGAAACTCGAGCACGGGGCTGTGTACGCGCCCGAGTCCGTGCGAGTGGAAAGCCATCTAACTTTCCAACTGCCGCGGCGATGCCTGCGCGAGGTCCCCAGGGCAGGCGCCGACTCGTGGCCCATCTGCTCTGGCCTCTGCCTGGCTCCTCTTGCCACCTCCAGGGCAAACGTGGGACTTGTTCCTGGGTCACAGGAACGAGTTCTCCAACTTTTCCTGTGCTAGTGTCTCACTTAGCTGTGGAAAGGAAAGAGGCAACGGAGAAAATTGAGGCCCTGGGAGATGGTTTTCCTTTGTACCTCAGTATCGCTACGTGGGAGGGGACGTCAGCTGACTTTAGAAAATAAAAAGCCACTTTGAAAGTGAGGTTGATGGCTGCCCGAGGTGGGAGCCAGTGTGCCTCTGAGGTCTTCAGATTAATAAGTAGAAAGGGACTCTATGGGAGGTGTATATTTTAAGAGTTGTGGAGGGGAGATGTCTGGTGGAAGAGTTGACATAGACTCGTGTGTCTGGCTCGTTCTTCTAAGTGCTCCATTACCAGGCAGGTCATAGCCATTCTCCTCTCTGCTTTTCAGAGAGCAGATCTAATATCCCTCCTTCCAGTTGTGAGATAACAAGCCAGGTTTCATCTGCAGCCTCGGTGGCTGCTGTTTGGTGACAGGCTTTTGTTTCTTCTCATTGATAGGAAGCCTGAGGAGTTTAGAATCCAAGTCCGCACACCCGTGGCGCATGGGCTCCTTGGGATGTGGCTGTTGAATGTCAAGAGAAGCAAGAGCGACTGGACCCCAAACACAGGTTGTGGACCAGGAGGCGGAGGGAATGGTGTTGGCAAGCACCTCAGCGGCAGCAGCTCTGAGAGAGCTACCAGCTGCCAGAGCTCTGGCGGCCAGATGCCTCCAAATCTCCTCCACCATTTGCCAGGCTTCAAGCAGCTATTTTTATTGCTACGCTTGGCAGATCCCTCCATCTTCTGTAGCTCTCCTTTCTCCTCGGTTTCTGTGATCCTGGGCTCCCTAGCTCTTTGTGCCTTTCTGAAATAGCCTCTTTCTCTCTTGTTGGGTCTTTGTCCTCTTCCCATTCTCTGGGCATTTGTTCAATGCAGATGCTGGTCTCCATTGTGGCTCCTTCTTTCCGCCTGCCTTCAATCTCACATTTTTTGCAGGTCCATGTCACAGAACTTTCAGCACTTCCAACATCTAGGATATGTCCCAGGAGACTCATTCTGCCTCCTTCTTTCCCCACCCAAGCCAAACCCACTTCTCCTTTGTGGTCTGAGGATTAACGGTGGCCCCTTCATTCATCCAGTATTTAAAGGACTTCAAAACCTGGACATCACCATCCACTCCTCTTCCTCCCTTGCCTCCTCTGAGCCAATTCCTACAAACATATGCTTCTGTGCATATTTCTTCCTCTCAATCTTCACTCCTCTTTACTGAAATCAGTTCCCCTCCATTTGGCTTTCTATCTGATGTTCCTGCCTGTAATATCACATACACACAGTTATTAGCACTTTAGGAATTTTCTTTCCCTTTCCTCATTTTTATTAGTACATTATGGTTGTACATGACGATGGGGTTCATTGTATATTTGTACATGCACACAATTCACCAACATGATTTGAACACTATCACTTTTCCCCTTCCTTCCCTTCCCCCTCCTCCTGGGTCCCTTTCCTCTACTCATCTCCCTTTGGTTTTCATGAGACCCCCCACACACACACACACGTTTCTTTTTCTTTATCTTCTGTAACTTGACCTTCTTGATCTTCTGAGTTTGGCTTGTTTTGCTTATCATATTGGTCTCTAGTTCTGTCTGTCCGTTTAGTTTTCTGCAAAAGACATAATTTCATTCTTCTTTATGGCAGAAGGAAACTCCATTGTATGTATGTACCACGTTTTCTTTACCCACTCATCCCTTGATGGACACTAGGCTGGATCCACAATTTGACTATTGGGCAGAGCAAACAAAACAAAACAAACCACTGAAGTGATCATTTTCATTAAGCTAATTTACTAATGTGGTCACTGTTTCTGGACTCTTCGTTATTTCCCATTACTTTTGAGTCAGATTTCAGCATCCCTAGTGTGAGATGGAAACAGTAAGAAGCATCAGCCCTTCACTGTGAGAACCCAAGCTGGTGGCTCCGGCTCAGGGTCTCACACGCCACCACGCTGTCCGCCGGCTGCAGTCCTGCTCCAGGCTTGCTTGGTGCTGGCCTTTGGTGGACCTCACCAGCTGTGGGTCAGGAGTGTTGGCTTCTTGCTACTTTGGCTTCACCGTAGCAGCTCTAAAGTGGAAGCTTGTTCCCAGCTGAGGGCCTTAGAGCATCGAGAGGCATTTGGACTGATGTCACAGTAGTTTTCATTGTAGTCTCAGCAAGTGACCTCCCACCACGTTCCCCACATTCTATTTGTGAGAAGAGAGTCCCTAAGTCTGGCCACCACAGAGAGGAGGGGAATCAAGGGGGGTCCTGGGGCAGTTAGAGAGTCTGCTGACCTGTCCAGAGGTTCATGCCCTGGCCCCAGGCTCTAGAGCTCATAACATCCTCCTCTGCTTTTCTTGAATCTGTGTTTGGATGTTGCTGCTTCTTTCTGAAACATGATTTTTCCCTAACTAGACTATAGAATTTGTATTTACACCTCAAATCCAGACTTAAGCACAAGCTCCTGGGAAGAGCTTCACTAGACGCTCACTACTGCAGGGCATATTCTCTGAGCCTTTTCTCTTCTCCATTCCCATGATTATTGAGTCATGCTGCATTTTATTACAGTTTATGAACTTCCCATTGGAACACATGTTCCTTGAAAACATGGGCTCTGTTACATTCAATGCTCACTGCATAAATGTCTATGAATTATGAAGTTAATTGAAAGACTTTTACCTGAACAAATTCACAGCATTAGTTTCATGATCAGTTATATCCAGCTTATGATATGCCACTGTTGTCCAAACATAGGATATTTACAAGTGGAAAGGTAGATTTAGTAAATTATTGGATATCTTCTATATACCTGACATTGAGCTAATTATCAGGTCCGATTTTGTAAATACTTGTTCCCTAGAAGGAGCTCAATTGAAAGACAGTAGTATTTGTTGAAACTAAACTAGAAAGCCACAAACCTTAGTACATTTGGTTAGGCTGACTTGGTGAGTCTCTCAGTTTTTCATTCAGTCTTAAAATAACACACTTGCTGCAGAAAGTTGTAAGGATTAATTTTCATCTTAATATTTTAGTAATATTATATTCAATAATTTTATTGTGAATTATTTTTAAGTGAAATAATATACTTAATCACTACTTAAATTGAATGGAATAAGAAAACCTCAGTCTGAATGGCAATTAACACTATCTTTAACTTGGACATCTGTTAATGATGAAGGTGGACAGATCTGTATCCCAACATAGATAGACAGAGGAGTGCACCTAGAGGTGAATATCTTATATCATTGAGAGTTAAATGTGTTTTAATGAAAAACAAGATCATAGTATTAATCAATACATTGTCCTATAATTTGCATTCTTCTTTTAGAAAATTTTATATTCATTCATTTTATCTCTCGACACTTAACATTATCTTCTTTTCAAGTGTATTAATTTTTCCAGCATAATTTTTCTTGTGTTAGAAAGACAACAAAGAAAGAAAAGTTCCAAGAATTGACTGAGATCACATAGGGAAAAACAACAGTTCTCTAAAATTAGAAATGCTTAACCATAGTCTGTAGTCTTTCAAGTTGGAATTTTAAATAGACAAATAAGATGCCATGTGATATTCAGAGGCTGTGTAAGAAATTAAACGACGTTAGCAACCACATTATGGTGTAGTGTAGTATTTAAAAGCTGCCCTTAGGAAGTCTAGGGATGATGCGGACTGTGGCCGTGGGGTCACAATGGCAGTGGGGTCACGATGTGATGGCAGTTTGACAGAGGGCTCCCCATGCCCCACGGCATGGCTGTTGCTGCCAAGTTGAATTGGCGGCCTGTGTCTTCCACTGTTGTGCAGGCAATATGGAGAGCAAACACCACCATTCATAACTCCCAATGAGAGGATAATTCAGATACAGGGAGTATGATGGATTTCAGTTTGCTAGCATTCTGGAAAATAGGCTCCTGAGACCAGCAGTGGTATTTCTAAAACCACCAGGAGATGAGATAATTGGTGGGGGGTGGGAGTGGAGGTGGGGGGCTAAGGAGACTGGCTACAGGAGGGTGGGGAGCCAGGGCCGGTCAGCAGATTTCACACCCAGGAGCGGGCTCTCCCAGTGTGAGTGCCAGTGGATTGTGGCTGGCCTTTGAGGTGCTCTTACTGAGAGCTCTTCTCTTGGGCTTGCAGATGTGCCTTGGGTGTGAAATCAGAATGGAAGCTGGCATCTCAGCCTTCTGTGTATCCTGCTCTTCAGAAACACGTTATTCACTGGTGGAGTCTCTGCCTAAAAGCTGGTAATAGGAGATGGACTAGGCCTAACCTGACAACCTCTCTCATCCTCCTTCTAGACTGAGACACCAGGATAAGAGCCACCAAGATTTTTTTGAGATTCCAGGAGCAGTGAGCATTGCAGGTGGATCACCTCATTATGGGACTGCCCCAGTGAGAGGGAGCAGTCACCCCATGAAGGGACCTAAGGTGCCCCCCCAGCAGGCACAGTCACCCCATGATAACAGCTGAATAGTCCCTTGAGCAGCTATTTCCCCAGTGCCACTGGACCTTCAGGAACCAGAAATGAGGCAATGATGGACCAGACCACCATCCGATCAAGACTGCCTGACGCTGCCAACTTCCTGCCTCTGCCCTATTTAAACCTGAACTTCTAGGTCAGGGCCCCTGAAGACAGGGCTGAGGATGCTTGGCCCCCTCTGTTTCTCCCCAGCATAGCCATGTTGAATAAATTCCTTCTGTGCTTCCCTGTTACTTGTCCATTTGATTTGGGGGTGAGAGTCTGGGTCTGGTCTGTTGGACCCTCTGGCCTGGGGCTCCCGTGATGGCAGCATAGAAAGCAGCACTTGGGAATATGGACTTGGACACAAATACTTGGAAGGTACAATGGAACTGTTTTGGTCATCTTTTCCTCTGCTGTGATCAACAGTCCTCGCAAGAAAAATTAGAGGAGTTTATCTGGGGCCTCACGGTTTCAGAGGTCTCAGTCCATGGACAGCCAAGTCCATTCCGTGGGGCCTGTGGTGAGGCCGCGCATCGTGGGGGAAGTGTGCTGGGGAGAGAAGCAGCTGGGAACAAGGCCCCCAGAAGCAGAGAGGGAGCTCTCACAACAGGGACATACCCCAAGACAGTCCCCCGTGACCTATCCTCCAGCCACCCCACCTCCTTCAGTCACCACTCAGTTGATCCCATCACTGATTGGGTGAAGGCTCTTATAACTCCACATCTAAACCAGAACAAGGCCCGCGGTGTCTTAGAAAGTCCTCCCTTAAAATGTGCTGGGAAAAGCAAGGTGTCACTTGGAGAATTAGTGGCAAAGGGTCTAAAATCAAGTTACTATAATGAAGATTAATGAAAATAGGGTCATGTGAAAGATCACAAGAAGGCAGACTTTCAATAGGTGCCTTAAATGGAAGTAATTTGTACCAAGGGACAAATAAGCCACTTGAACACCTCAGCACAGAATTGTTAGAATCATCTAATTTGATTAAAGGAAAAATCCCTGCTTGTTGTCATAAGCAGGAAATACAATTCTTCACTCATCGAAAGGCACTGTAGGATGAAAACAGCAAAGATCAAGACTTGAGACTAACAGAGATTTTTTAAAAAAATACTTAAAGCAAAGGGAAAGAAAGGGAACACCCACAGTAAAAAACTGAAATTTGTAACAATCATTTAAATACACAATCACCAAATAGAAATGCAATTTTAAAAATACATTTTTAAATAGAAATCGGCAAACATCAAAATATTTGAAAGTGGAGCTGAGAAAAAAATAATCCAGAAAGAAATTCGTGAAAGAGAAAAAAAGTCATCTCAGCTATGAATAATTAAATGTAAACTTGTAAATAAGGAAATAAAATATGCAGCTTAAAATTCATGAAGCAACATAGAGAATGGGAAAGGAAAACAAAATGAAATAAAGTAATAGATGAAGAGAGTGAGAGAGAGCAAAGATATAATGCATGTGGAAGGCCAACAGAGACAAGTGTGTGGGTGGTGTGTACCGATGTCTTGCAGGATGATGTACATCACATGTATCCATGGACACAGCAACTGAAATCTCTGAGAGAAAATGAGACAAATTAACAGAACTAATATTTCAAAATATGCTTCAACTTTATTTCTGAAATATAAGATTTTCATTTGATAACTTACCGGTTTTTCTTGTTGAAGGCATTCTACACTATTATGGAATTTCAGATAACTTCATTTTCTGGGTCCATTCATTGAATCCAACAAGAACTTATTCATATTTCCTACTTTTTCCCAGTAACACATACATTATATAAATGCATGATGTAAATTTCCTTGGTACCAACTTTATTTAGTTTAATATAATAGTTGAACATTTGTTTCGCTTGCCCGGGTGCCAAGGCTTACTGTGGTGAAACATTTGAACACACAGGCCGAGAGCCTGAGACCCAGCATTGCATAGCAAACCCTGTGTGAATGAGCAGGAGGAGGGTGAATGGCACCCTGTCTACTAAGTTGCCTTGGTGTTGACTGCTTGGGGACAATCCGAGAAGAGCTCAAGTTCCAGTCCATGTGTGCATATTTATTTATTTATTTATTTGTGGTGCTGGGGATGGAACCCAGGGCCTTGTGCATGCAAGGCAACCACCCTACCCAGCCCCTGTGTGCATATTTAGCAACACAGTTTCTCTAAGGTTTTGCTTAGAATAGTTTAATTCTAGTACAGTAGGCGCTTAGGTGAAGTAAAAGCATAATATTGGCACTAGATCTGACACATCCTCTTCCTTGAATGCCCGGTTCTCAGTGCCATGTGACTTGCCCTGTCTGATCTGCCTACCCATAAGCTTAGGGTCTCACTGCATCACTAGTTGTCTTTGTTTTGAAGAATCTTAGCATCCCCATTATTCCAAGGTAGGGATTCCTCTTCCCGGGATCTGCATTTTGCCCCAATTTTTATTGTCATGCTTACCTCCTGCTATCTGTGTTGTGCCTTTGAGGCTCTGGACAAATACCCCTCCATCTCCTGCCCTGTCTGGTTTGATCGGGTCTATTACGAATGTCTCCTCTCTTCCCTTGAATGACCTCTCCTTCCCCTGCAGAAGGCCTCACCTCCTGTGAAGCTTCCGTGACCCTCTGTGGTCAGTCACCTTCTCTTCTGCTGCAGAGGGTACCATTCAATGCAGTGTGATCTTCATCAGTTTCTGGAGTGTAAAATGATAGTGGTGTTCACCTTGATCCTGATGCTCTAAACATATGTTCCTCTACGTCAGCAGTAGTAAAAATTATGTACTAAAAATAAAATGAAATAAAAAATAAAATATAAAACTAACCTCAATACTTGGCTCAAAATGATAAATACTTCTTTTACATTTCTTTTTATAGTAATGATTTTCAAAAATCTTAAGCATTGAGAAGCAAAGTATTAATACGTAGTGACTTATTTAATGGCACACGATTATAGAACAGATTACAAGTGGCCTGGTCAGTGGAAAATTAAGTTGATAAGAGGCAAGTATTGGTAGGAAGTGTCAAAGACCACTGTGAGCAACACATCTCTATTTTACAGAGTAGAGTGGCTAGAAATAACCACTAAAATGGAATGGAAATGACACAGGATTGAACACACAGGTGGTTGTGACGCAGTGTAGGATCAGCCAGGCTGAGAAGAGGGAAGGTGGACGACATCTCAGGAAGCCAAACCCTCACCTTCCCTGGGACCTCAGCAGGTAGGTACTGGGGAAGCTCAGCAGGTAGGTACTGGGGAAGCTCAGCAGGT